TACGAGGTGTATGCTGGCGCTGTTGCTTATTAATGGTGTTGCACGCAAGGAGGTGTGTGTTACAGAATGTGTAGGTTTGCCGTGAACGATAGGTTATCGTTTGTTCAACAATGAGCAAACAAATTTGGGGCATCAAGTCAATTCTGAGAGGCTATATTTTCCAAACAATTGTGATATGTGGCGACGCCAAGGCTTGTAAAGACCTTCGGAAGCGTTGTACGCTTCGTACACGCTTCGAAAGTATATAGTCTGACGGTCCCCCGGACCCTTCGAAATAGGACAAGTCCTCCGTAAAATCACATAACGACGTAGTATTCGCACGTGACAGGTGAACCCCCATTGTGTGATTTTACGGAGGACTTGTCCTATTTCGAAGGGTCCGGGGGACCGTCAGACTATATACTTTCGAAGCGTGTACGAAGCGTACAACGCTTCCGAAGGTCTTTACAAGCCTTGGCGTCGCCACATATCACAATTGTTTGGAAAATATAGCCTCTCAGAATTGACTTGATGCCCCAAATTTGTTTGCTCATTGTTGAACAAACGATAACCTATCGTTCACGGCAAACCTACACATTCTGTAACACACACCTCCTTGCGTGCAACACCATTAATAAGCAACAGCGCCAGCATACACCTCGTAATAGATATATAGATGGGCTCTATCCCACACTCATTGGAAGAGCCAGAACACTCTTTCAATTCACGAAGTTCAACAAAACCCTATAGCGTTAACTAGTAGTGTAAGGGTCTTCGAAAACCCAGCCCAACCTGACCCCACTTGGGGGGGCCGTCAGACTATATTTTCGAAGCATGTACGAAGCATACAACCCTTCCGAAGATCTTTACAAGCCTTGGCGTCGCCACAGGGGTAATTTCCACTTGTCACGAGGCCTTCCGTGGCGGCGTGGGGGGAGTTGTACACCACTTTTTCGTTACTCTGTACAACATCCCCCCAGAATTCCATAAACACTACGTAAAAGACTTCAATTTTGCTCTATCGTGCGTATAAATGCTCAGCTAGTAAGCCATCGTCTTTTCAGCTTTCAAATCGCTTATATACGCTTGCTGAATGGTGGTAAAATAAGTGCTATTCTGGCGTAGTGCTCCACCTTTTTGATAGTTATACGTCATACCATTTAGCATACGAAACGCAAGTATTTCTCTCTTTACCTTACAACGATGTAGAAAAACTCGAAGGTTTTGGGTTGATCCAATTTTAAAGGCTACGTAGTAGCTATATTAACAGTTGCAGTATTCTCAGTGCACTCGTTGTTAAGAGTTGGGCGATTCAATGTTGCGAAACGAGTGTACAGGAACAACCTCCCCCACCCCCCTACCTCAATGGGTTTCAAATTTTTGTTAGCAATGGAAAAGAGCTTGCTGACTCTTCATTCGTTTCAACTCATTAACCATCGTCACCCACGGGGATTTACAGCTAGGACAACTCTTTTCATATCGAAGCTTCGCTTAGCAACCTAATAGATCACAACGAATCTACTGTTACTGGGAAACTGGCTCGGCCGAGCCAGTGCTAATACGCGAGTTTCCGTTCCGTGCTACTAGGTCCGTGCTTGATGCCTCGTCTCCGCCTCGGCATATTCGTCGAATCACATCAATCATATTATATCCGAGTACGTGCGCATTGCGCGGACATATCTTCATGCTCAAGAAATCTTGCTCACCATTTCCTATTCTTTGCTTCTTCCAGTTGTCTGCTTTTGCACTTCGCCGAGTAACTCGGACAACGAAGTCCAGAATCGTATTCCCGGAGCATGGAGAGAGACCGCCGGCGCCGAAGACCAGCCTTTTCATGTCTGGAGTGTAGACGGCGCAAGATTAAGTGCGATCGCAATGAGCCGTGTGCACATTGTGTCGCGGCGAAGCTTCAATGTGCTTACAAGATCTACAATGATGAACCCACCGTCCGTCACGTGCTGCAACGCAAGATCTCTGATGATGGGTCTGGTGTCCGGCAAGGAATACAACAAGGCAACTTCTCTGGAGGGTCAACATCAAGTCCATCTACCGCACATTCGCCGTTCATTCAAACTCTTCCCATGAGCACATCCAGATCAGTTGCAGACTATAATCATCAAGGACTCTGGCCTAAAATCCCCACAGCAGCAAGAGAACGGCATGACCATCAAAAAATGTTTGTTAGCGGCAGTATACCACCACTAGATCGTGCCCAAGATACAGAACCGAACCTGCGGGATATGTTACGACGTATACGGAATTTAGAGGAATCTTCGGCATCAAATCCAATGCACGGGCTGATCGAAACTGGCCGTCACATACTAGAGAGCCATTCCGGTCTGCAGGACTCGCAGATCTTTCTGAATAAAACGAGGATATTTAGATGGAGTCACTGGCTAGGGACCGCACCAGAGGTACAGACCACATCTACCTCGATGTCTCGAGCGTAATTCCCTACTGACAAATTCACAAGTTCGCAACCATCGGTGACTGCTATACTGAATATACCGAGATGATGACGAGAGGGTCCTCCTCTGACGCAACACAATCCACCGGGGCAGTGATTAGGGATGTCATCTCTGATGCAACAGATTTGGAAACTCTACTTAGCCAGATCGGCAGTCTCCTTCGGAAATGCAAGAGCATCGCAAAGATGATCAAGGTAGGACGGCCTAGCAGATCTCTCTCACGACCCGGGTTCGGACTCGGAACCCCCTCGCGCGACGTTGCAGACATGATGGTGGCTCTGTATTTCCGATTCTTTGAATCATCGCTCAGAATTCTCCATGTACCAACTTTTTGGGCCGAGTACCAGAACTATTGGGACCACTCAGAAACTGTTTCAAGTGACACACGCCTAAAGATCCTCCTTGTCATCGCCATAGGGTCGAGTCTGTCCGACCATACCGACAGGGATGCCGCGTTTCGCAACATGGTCCATCTATGGATCTACGCAGCCCAGACATGGCTTTCCGGGCCGTTGGAAAAAGATCGTCTCAATATCAACGGCCTTCAAATTCATTGTTTGACCATTCTAGCACGACTGATCTTCTCAATCGGCGGTGACATGATCTGGATGTCAATGGGATCACTCATTCATCGAGCCATGCAGATAGGCTTACATCGTGATCCGAAACATCTTCCATCAATGTCCGTGTTGCAAGCAGAGCTTCGAAGGAGATTATGGGCCACCATACTCGAGATGCTCGTGCAGTCCTCACTGGACTCAGCTATGCCACCGAGAATGTCCTACGACGAATTTGATACCGAGGCTCCTGCCAATATCAATGATGAGGACATGGACGAGTCAACAACAGTTCTTCGACCTTATGCGAAAAGCGTCTTCACCTCGACCTCGATGCAGCTGATGCTCCTCGAATCCCTACCGACGCGATTGCGAATCCTTCAGCTCATGAACGGCTTGCACTTCAGGCTCTCCTACCTGGACGTCCTTTCCTTGAGCACAGAAATCAACGACGCATGCCGCGCATACAACACCTTCGTGAAAGAGAATGAACACCCCGGCGTAACTCCGTTTCACCGAAATCTGCTGGACTTCTTCATCCGCCGTTTCACAATTCTCTTGCACTGTCCATTTGCCAGCAAAGCCCGCCAGAATCCACTCTTCTACTATTCCCTCAAAGTCAGCCTTGACGCCGCCATGTCCATTCTCTCACCTGAGCCGGATGACGCTTTCGCACACCTCACGAGGATCGGTGGAGGTGGATTGTTCAGGGAGGGATTCAGGTTGGCATGCACTGTCATCAATCTTGAACTTCTGGCCGAGGTGGACGCCCAGCGCACCGACGGGACGATGCACCGCCATTCGCAGCACAGAGAGCTCCTGAAGCAATATGTGAGAGACGCCATTTCATTGTCTGCGGAGCGAATTCGACATGGCGAAACTAACGTCAAGAGCCATATGCTCCTAAGCATGGTACTAGGACAGGTTGCAGCGACGGAATCAGGGAAGACGCTGTTGAAATTGGAGATTGCAAAAAATGCGCGGGATAGTCTTATCTTCTGTCATGAGATATTACAAAGCCTGCCAGTCCCCGTGAATGCTGATTTGGCGTCGACCACTCTGGGTGATGGACCAGGAGAGTATGGCATGGACCTTGATCTGGATTTCCTCTTCCCCGATGCTGGCTTTTCTTGAGGGAAGTGCCTGTTCAGGGCACCATCCTGGACAATGACTAGGCAAAGGTCATGTACTCCACTCAACCCACGGCTCTATCGTATACGGTATGCAACCTATATGATAAACAGTTGTTTCCAGAGACCATTCTTCCATTCATCAGTGTCATGTCTTTTTCTATTAGAATGGAGTAGAGTTTGTCTAATGCGAGATATGCCAGTCTATCCACCACAGCAGGAGATTAGCCAATGACGAATATAAAAATACAAGTTTTCGGCCCACCAGTCGCTCATTGTGTCCGTGAATGAGTCTTCAAGCCCTTGCCTCGAAACAAAAGAATCTTGGACCCACTCATTCACGTCTTCCTCTTTCCCTTAGGCATCCGTACCAGCCAATATAGCGCCAATGACGCCACGATATTGAATCCAATGTATACCCACAGGATCCCGAAATTGCGCCATCTGTCTGCATACTCTGAGCTGACGGCCGCGAGAAAGACATTTGTGTCCTTAATCTTGCAGTATTGGCAATGACTCATCGCATCCGAGTCGAGCAGATATCCACCCACTCTTGAGATATAGTCGTCCATGTACTGGCCACAAGTCTGTCCCTCAGGCGGACTGAGGATAGTATATTCATTGTTTGCGCAGGTGACATCGACATTCGCGATGCCTGTCGACAGCACAGCCGAGACCCAATACGACAGTGGCGAGACGCGGTACAGAAAGACCCAGAATCCAGGCATCGCGGCCGGTGTGGCCAGGACACCGCAGAAGAAGAAAATGAGCACGAAGAGGAAGTTTGCGGTGTTGCCGGCTGAGTCTGCGCTGTCGGCCCAGGAAACACACATGTGCGCGAAGGTTGATGCGAAGAGGAGAAATTGCCAGAGCAGAAGCCAACTCAATGCACCTCGTTCCGTGCCTTGCTCGGCGGCGTCAGCGTTCTTGTAGAAGCCGACAGGGTAATACATCAACGCCCACATGAAGACCGAGGCGAGGGTATTCCAAGGTATCTCAGATAGAATCTGGCTCAGCATGAAAATTTTCCAGGAGTACGTCTTCGCCGGGCGTTCACGCACTTCATACAATGCACGTTGAGTTAGGAATTGTGGAAATTGCTGATTGACCAACTGTCCGAATATGCTGGCGAGTTCGAAGACGGCAAACATCTGATTCTGCAGACCTTGAATCGTCAGTGGTGCATCAATAAATACCAGGCCAATGAACAAACTGCTGCCAATGCAGAGTGCGAGTTTGGAGTAAATGTAAGACGGTGTGCGCCATATTTGCTGGAAGGCGCGTTCTGTGACGATAAGGAATTGTTCCCAGAGTGGTGCAGCGAATTCGCGGTATGAGGCTGGATCATTCTTTTCGTCCGTGGATGGTCGATCTTTAACACGGGCCCGGAGCCTGGATAGTTCGTCCTGAACGTGCTGATATTCGGGGCTGGAACGCCATACCTGGAACCAGTCGATTTTAGATGAACCGCCAGGAGCAGCGCCGATGGCTTCGAGCATCCATTCAACAGGATTGGCACCGGGTGGACAAGGTGGTGCTCCATTGCGTTCGAAGTAGTCTGTTAGGGTCTCCGAGTTGTGTCCAATTTCACCTGTGTTGAAGATTTTGATTAATTATTATTGCTCTTATTGATTCATCATCTCGAAGGGGAACGGAAACCGGGGAGAGAACCCATGAGAGAAAAAGGAAATACTTACCAAAGTAAACCGTCTTCCCTCCCTCAGTAAGCAAGAGCAGGCGTTCGAAACGTTGAAACAGCATCGCCGACGGCTGGTGAATAGTGCAGAGGATCGATTGACCTGCTTTAGACAGCTTCTCTAGCAAGTCGACGACCGCCCAGCTGGTTTGAGAGTCAAGTCCTGAGGTGGGCTCGTCAACAAAGAGCAGGAGCGGCGGTTTGGCGGCCAGTTCGACCCCGATGGTCAAACGCTTGCGTTGCTCCACGTTGAGGCCTTCGCCCGGCACACCTACAACGGCATCGGCGTACTCTTGCATTTCCAGCAACTTGATGACTTCATCCACATAGGCTAGTTTTTCCTTTTTCGGGACACTAAAAGGTTGACGAAGAAGAGCTGAGAAGCTGAGAGCCTACCACGTAAGTCAGTCGGAAGCTGCGAGAAAAATCAGTTGGCGGATGTACGGGTGACAGCAACCCTGGAGATAACCACCAGAGGGCGAGGATGGACAGAGAACTTACCTCTCTGACTGTACTGGTCTCCAGGTGCAGATCTTGCTGCTGAGCATACCCAGTCTGTCGTTGAAAGCTCTCATCGCGTATCTTGCCGTCGACCAGCATCTCGCCAGTGACGATACCTATACCCGTACGTCGATCCGCCAAACAATCCAGAAGGGTGGTCTTGCCGGCTCCTGAGACGCCCATCAAAGCGGTGAGCGTCCCTGGTCTGACCCAGCCGTCAACATTGTCCAGAATGCGCCGAGGTTTGCCCTTGATTTTAATGTCGTAGCATACGTTGCTCCAATGAAAAACGCTGGTGGATCCTTGGATGACACCTTCGTTACTGGGCAATGACTCGGCTGACTTTGCAGCGACCATGACCGGATTGGAGGGTGACTTTTCGACGTCGTCACCACCCTTTGAGGTAGACTTCGGAACAAATCCTCGACGGAAGACAAGGACTTCTCCCTTGGACTTCTTTGCTGTAACATATTCGCTGGCGATGAAATAAACAAGGTGGTTGAAAACAGCCATGGCGATAACGATGCCAACATTGCGCCACTTATGACTATGGTAGTAGCTGTATGCCGAATTAATATAAGCATCGCCGTTCACATAGAGCTGGCCGGGAATGGCACCGACCGCATCGCACGCCAAGTTACTGGAGCCAGGGTTTGCGTAGTCGGGGATATAGGCAGAACATGGAAAATTGCGGCCATGGAACTCATTGACCATAAGGGCCTCATAGCCATATCCGACAGGATTGGCGTAACTGATCCATCGACACCAACTCAGCATGTAATCGACAGGGACAACAAATCCTGTAAAGATGAGCAATGCAAGCATGAGGGTTGAAGCAGGAACCATGGCTTGCTGCTCAGTCCGCGACAATGCGCCGCTGGATTATGTTAGTCAATTTCCGTTCTCCCATGATCGAGGCAACTTACATAGATCTGAAAATACCAGACATGGCCATAATGATAACGAATACGGTGAACAGGTAGAAGAAGAAGTTGCCAGGATGCCGGTTGAGATTCGTCATGAAGTAGAACACCAGGTTGAATGAAACAGCGTTGACAATCTTCAGAGGCAGATCAACCAGGACGGAAGAGTACGATTCAGCCGATGGATGGTAGAAGGCGTAGCGAGTTTGTTTTTCCACAATGGGTCTTTGTGCATACAACGTCATGACCTCGAGTATAGAAGCGAATGCGTTGAACAGGATGGCCACGAAAAGTACAACAGCACGTCCGTAGAAGGAATTGGTGTCCTGCTTCAGGTTGTAAAACAAGGACGAAATGATAAGAGCCAGCAGCGTGTTGCCGACACCCATTCCAACAGCCACCCAAGGATCGGCAATGAATCTTTTCCATCCACGCCAAAAGCAAAGCTGAACCTGCTGATGATATGTCAGGGTGTAAGGTGACTTAAGGCGTTGACCTTTAGCCTGATGCGACTTCTTCAATTGACGAAATGTCTCGGCGTCGGGACCATCAATCGGGTGCTCGGTCTTGTATGCGTCGATTGCCACCTGCAAGGCTTGATATGCACGGCTGTTCTTCCATGCGGCTGCGAATTCGTCGGGAGTTCGCGGCGGATTACAGCCAGCCCGTGGAATTCGCTCTGCGGGAAAAGTCATGGATGTCAAAAAGTCGGGAGTTGTCTGACGTGCTGGACACTGGAAACCTAGATTGATGAAATACTGTTTTGCTTCGGGGGCAGGGCCGAAGTAGATCTGGCGACCTTCGTAGATGACCAGGACTTTGTCGAACAGGTCGTAAGCACTCTGTGGAGCTTGGTACATCGAAACTGCGCATGTCTGACCGAATAACTCAGACTGAAGCCTGAGGGTCTTGCAGAACTCAATCGCATTGGCCGAGTCCAGACCACGAGTCGAGCTTCGAAAGTAGTTAGCCTCTATTTCCGAGAAGAAGAAGAAGATGCCCGACTGAACACTCACTTGTCCCAGCACTGAAATGGGGCCCCTGTTAGAGTTGCTTCTGCGATTGTAACACGTTTTCGTTCGCCTCCCGATACGCCTCTGGTGAATTCATCTCCCACTCTTGTGTGGATGGTGTGAGTAATGCCGTACATGGCCATGACGACGTCTCGAAGATGGTCACAATATCTGCGAAGAAATCAGTCAATGGCTACATGTGAAGTCGGAGATAGTCACGGATTGGAAGGACGTACTCATTGCGGGAGATACCTTGTGGCAGCTCCTTCTGGCAGCTCGCACGCGCAGCAAAAGTTAGCGTGTCTCCCACAGTTAAATGAGGGAAATGGACATCGACCTCGGCGGTGTAGATGGCATCGCCACGATGTGAAGAATGCATCTCTTTTGCTGACATTCCTTGATAGTTGAAGTAGGAACCTTCACTAACATAAATGCCGTTCGTGTCTCCTGCAAGCGTCTTAAGTAATGTTGAGCAACCAGAACCAGGTGGACCCAAGACAACACACGTCTCCCCAGGCCGTATGATCCCTTCAAACTGGCGCAGAATGTCAATCCGAGTCTGGCCGGCCTTTTTGTCGAAGAAGCGGCGAATTAAGCCAGGCAGAGCCAGCCAAATGTTACCCACGTCCTTTTGAAAGTCCGTTGGCGTGCCATAGCCGAACACATTCAGATTCTGAAAACAAATTCCAACTCGACGAAAACTCTGGCCACGCTCGTGGGCCACTCTGGCGACATTTGTGGCCCAGGCACGTGCGTTGAAATTTTCGCTGACTGGGTTTAAAGGAGAATTTGGATCGTCGCTCCCGAAGATAGGTTTGCCCTTAGGATCGTCTGAACCGACGGTCGAATCGTGCGTGTATTGGCGTGCAAGATTCTGCACTATGGAATAACGCTTCTCCATCGATACTTCTGCGCTTGGTTGAACCTCATCAGCCGTTGGTTCTGATGTACCGTGGTCGGGAGGAAAGGGGCGAAGGGCTCTGCCGAAGCCCAGATCGCCAGGCACTGTCGACATGGTACTTTGACAAGCTGAGTGGCGACAACATGCGTTTGAATGGAAAGCAAAAGCCCCTAGCTCGTTCAGATCAAGCTGAGAGAAGAAGGTCAAAATCATAGGAAAGAAAAGGATTGAAATAGAGACTCAATCGAGATTGTAGGTTAGTGAACAAGGTCATGGTTAGCGGAGTTCCATTAGTTACTTGAAGCCGTGAATACCTTCACTATCACCGCATATGCCCGGTCCGCTGTGGGTCCAACATGGTATCGTGTCGCAATTCCTGCAGGGAGCCAGTGTCCAAGTTCGGCCGAACACTGTAGAATGTCCGACGGGGACCCGCGGACATATCTGAGAGGAACTTTGACCCGGGCACACTCCTGAGCCGGGACAACAGAGACATACCGACCCTCCGGTCGCAGACACTGGCAACAATGTCATGATTATCGGGAAAGATAGTCAAAGACAAGTAGAAGTAAGTCGAGTGGAAGGGAATATGAGCAGTGTGGTTCGCTGCCGGCGGAGATATATTTGCCAATATACTGACATGGTGCGTTTCACAAGCAGTCGAGTTGCAGCCTGCGTTGTAGGTATGACTGTCGCTACCAATTGCATGACATTGTTGGCCGAGAGAAGATTGATTGAATCTATCTGAGCGAGGTGCAAGCGACAAAAAGGGCCACCGTGATATGTGGCAATGCCAAGGCTTGTAAAGACCTTCGGAGCTGTTGTACGCTTCGTACACGCTTCGAAACTATGTAGTCTGAAACCCTGGGAAATAGGACAAGTCATCCGAAAAATCATAATATGAAGGCTGTGGTGTAGGTGACTAGGCTAGACCTAATGTGGACTGTTAACACTTCTGAGACCATTAACAGCAGCTTTATGGCCGACGGAAATCGAGCTTTCCCCCTCTAGCTTTTCTTCTGATACTCTTCGTCTGTAACCTCTTGGTGCCACGTAGTCGACCCATGACTGACCACCAAATGGCACATGTAGCTGCCATCATCTCCGCCGTGCCAATGAGTCGTCCCAGGCGCTGCCCAAACGACATCTCCCGCCTGAAGACGCCGGGGTTTCTCTCCCTTATCACAGACCCAGCCGGAGCCCGCGAGAACTTTCATCAATTGTCCATTCTCATGCGTATGCCAGTAACTCCGGGCAGCGGGGTTGAAGAAGACGTTGTTGATTTTTATGTCCGGCGTGTTGTGTATTGGATCGACCCAGACGTCCCCAGTAAAGGTTTTGGTACCTTTGTAGCTGGCGGTGCTCTGGTCGGCCGGTCGGCGAATTATTGTTGTGGGCATGGCGAAAAGAAACCTGAAGGTGGCGTAGTAGGAATTTTTAGAAGTCGATAGTACTCAATATCTGGATTTACGATCAAGAAACTGAAATACCACGGAGTAGTATTAAGTGACTCTGTCACAATTATGAACCTTTGCCAAGCTGCCTTTTTTTTTTTTATGTTTCGTGGGCTGCCGAGCCTATGCTAAGGACACCGTATGTAGCGGTGTAGGGGTAATGTTATTCTGTACACCACATTTTGTTATTCTGTACACCGCTTTTGATTGGTCCGGATTTTTATTTTTCCGGTTATCTGCGCAGTTCGAAGATACGTGATGTCACAACACCTAAGTCTGCCTATATAGAATGCAGAAATGATGGTTAACGATGGTATCCTCTGCACGGTCGATACCTCGTGCTGACTAAGGTAACAAACCAGCGCCCATAGGCTTGGGTGGGAACCGCCCATAAGCGGGGCAGTTGCCCCCCGGCTTATGGGCGGTTTCCCCCCGGTTCATGGGCGGTTTCCCCCTCCGGCTTATGAGCGGTCCTCCCAAGCCTATGGGCGCTGGTTTGTTACCTTAGTCAGCACGAGGTATCGACCGTGCAGGGGATCTCTACACAAATCCGGCTGTGTAGGCCACAATAATTTACAAAGTATACAGAGAAGCTCAAAATGCACGGTACTTATCTACCAAGGAAAAGGGAATCAAATGTGTTTATTGCTTCGCAACCACCTATAACGGGGAGAGTTTAACGCGTCACCCCTCCACAGCTACGCCACTTACTAGTGTTTTCTCGCCATCGCCGGGCCAACGGCAACAAGCTCTGTTAGCGCGGTGTACAGAATAACAGGATGAGAGCGTTAAGTGTACAGAATAAGGCGAGAGAGAGGTGGTGGTGTACAGAATAAGGAGAGTTGAGGCATGGTGTACAGAATAAGCAGGTTTTCCGGTGTACAGAATAACAAAAGTTGGTGTACAGAATAATACCCCCCGCGGTGTAGTGGCTAGGACACGTGATGCGCCTACATGATACTACGTGACGATAGACTCTACGGGTAGATAGGCATTTTCTACCGCTACGCCTAGCACCTACTGCACATTATTTCCATTGCGAAACACACCGCACAGCACCGTCTTGGATTGGCCGGGGAAGGCGGGTATCTGACCTTAGTGGTGTTGTGCGGGCATTTTTAGTATGTAGGGGACCAATCTGGCAAGCTTTCGTCCATTATCTATGGACTAATGCAGTTCTGTTCAGGGAGGATCGTTCGACTCCTCCTTTGTATCCCTCCGGCTAATATCTTATCGATAAAATATTTCCCCTCCCCCTCATCACATCGACCGGTGGGGCAATGTCAAGCCTTTCAGGGTCGTCTCCGAATAGCGAGGTAGCGCTCTTGCAAACAAGCCTGACGAATGGTTCTACAGTCTCATAAACTAGCTAGAAGGACTGACCGCTTCTCCCGCAGGATTAGGATCCTTGTTGGTGGTGATGTATTCTCTCCATCATCGTCAAGCGGAGATCCCAGGGCCGACATCGGCAAAATCTCACATATTGGCTCATGGCATAGGTACGAATTCTACTACGATGTCATTCTTGACCTTACACGAGCAATATGGCCCCATTGTGCGCATCAACCCGGAAGTGTACGCCGGCACAACACGCAAACGGAACAAGTGGACTTCTTTCTACAAACCAGAGTTGATTATCTCAGGCGACATTTGCGATTCTCAACCGTAATCTTCACCGCATGCGCAGGGCTGTGTTGAATCCGTCCTTCTCCAATGCAAAAGTGAGTGGCTTGCAACCGCGCATCGAGTCATGCTTGAAAATCTGCTGGCTCGCTGTCACAGATTTGGGGTTGCCGGAAAGCCCATGACGGTGTCGTTGACTTATGCCGCACTCACGAACGGTCAGTTGTTTCCCTTCCTTCGCCAAACTGTATTGACGAGGTTAGACATCCTTATGGAGTATGCATTTGCGCGCAGTGATAATCGGACATGGCTCCCGGCTTTGACCCAAGCTTCAAAGGAGCCGGCGAGGCCAAGCTGGGCCATTTTGTCAAGCAAATACTATGGGTGTTGACCGTGATGAAATTGCTTCCGGACCCGTGCAGACCATTTTCAACCCGGTGATGGCCAGTTACATAAAACTAAACAAGGTAAGACCTCCCAAATCTGTACACCAAAATCTCAGTATTACTTGAAATTGTGTGTTGTTAATGCAACGAATAGGATATCATTCGGCATGCTTCTGAGATCTACTCATATCGTGACGAGTCTGGCAATAAATATAGCTCACAAGCGACTATCTTCCATAAGATCTTGGAGACCGATCTGCCCGAGTAGGAAAATTCTCCTGACATTTTCTGGCAAGACGGACAGGTTATACGACTCTTGTACCTTCAGGTGCAACTTACCTCCTCTCTCCCAGCCAAAGTCTTATAATAGACATCATACCAGTATCCAGTCTCTATCTCTTGTTTGATACCATCCCTCTGATTCATTTGATATCTTCAATCGATGCACCATCTAGGAGTTAACTCCCCGTCACCGACAGGGGATGCCACGCAGATGTTCATCATGCCGTATTGCGTGGTGAGAAGAATCTTCCGCTCGTCTTCCGGCGACAGCCAGGTCCACCATAATGGAGCAAGGTAATGGACGTGGATCAGCCCGTCTTGAGTGGTCATCTTCTCGGCCACCAGAATTGCTCGGTTGGCTCTTTTTCCATCTCGTCTCCAAGCTTGCCGAATAATTGCTAAATTGTCCCATGTGAAGGCTGCGGGCCATCTTTCGTCTTCACTGAAAAGATTGATTAAATGGAGAGTATTGTCCGGTTTTGTCTGGACAATCCACGTACGACGCCCTGAGCTGCTCACCGTCTTGGTGTCCATGGGGCAACGATTTGCCTTGTCCTGTGGCCTGTTCACCCAGTGCCGCCGACTCCAATCCGGATGCTGAGACAACCTCCAACCTTCGAACTCAACAATTAGGCCCTCTTCAACCCGCTGAGCTGGAGGCACTTGATCTATCACTTCTAACCTGTCATGGCCGATAGAGGAGGGTGCCCATCGGTATCCTGGTGTCACCAGGCGATCCCCAGCAGCAAACAACAGAGCTGACGGAATGCTCCGAGCATCAAAACGTCGAAATAAAAGCAAAGCTCTTTCTGCCTCGGTCTTGCAGTCATAGAAGTCCTGGGGTCGTCCAATGCCCAGCATCGACGCAATCACGACATAACGGTCTTCTTCGTATTTTGTAGCGCGATTTCTCGACTCATTCCATGCAAATCTAAAAAAGTACTGGAGATTCTCTTTACTGTGATCCGAAACGTCAATATGCAAATTCAACATCCAGGCTTGGTAGGCTTCGACGGTGCCAATGCTGGAAAGTAGACTGACATTTCTGTCAGTGGTCTCGTCCTTTTGGATCTGCTGCAAACTTTCGAAAACATCAGTCAATTGAACGGTGCCATTCGCCGTGCGAACAAAGACACGGCTGTACGGCGTAACAGCGCCTTCATGCATCGTCCACAATCGCTGCATCCAGCGTGAAAACGAAAAGAGTAAGCCGAGCTCGACAGGGGAAAGGTTCTCCGCGGTCAGGTTCAGCATGGTGCTGTCGAGAATAATCACAGAGAACGCATCGTGATAAGTGTCTCTCATACGCTCAATGGCATAATTGCGCATGCGTCTGCGTCTGAGGCTATCAGCTGCATCGCAGTGGCCATCAGGCACATTGGGTACCACAGGAACACAAATCGTATCAAGCCAGAATGGGATGGATCCTGGAGGCTCTCTAGGGAAAAAGTCATCAATGATACTCTGTAGCCGAGACCATTGACACTGTGAGAGCTGATTGGCGACTTGGTTTCCAAGTCCGTCGCTCCACACGTGAGAAAAAGCGACGTAGGTGGTCTCATGAGATGACAGGACTTCAATGCCGAGACTGCCAGCGTCTTTTCGGACACGTACCACTGGGATGTGTCCATGTTCTAAGAGACACAGAACTTGATCGTAGAAGTCATCTCGGGGGAGATCTTCGCATGAGCATGGGTGTGCGGCATGACGACGAGGAGAAACTCCCTTGGCTAGGTAGTCAACGTTGCAGCGCGTAGCGGAACAACTGTCATGTCCGATCGCATTCTCCCTGCGACTGTTGAACGGAAGGAAACTTGCAAGACACATTCCAACGAGCGACAACATGGGCTGAAGAATAGAGATGAGTCGAGGGCATACCCCGTTGCGAATCAATCGTCGATGTACATACGACGGCGTGTACCAGGCCGTTCCGTCGTCTCTGAGAGTCCCATTGTTGTCCAGTCCCAGGCGAGTCTGAATTTTGTGAATCGCATGGGACAGCGTGTGGCCGAGGACGCAAATTGACAGCTCCAAATCCTCGGGCATAATTTTACGCCCCCATCTCACCCAGAAGTTTTGCTCCTCTTCACGAAGTACGGAGAGTATCTGACCTGCGAGGGCCACAGGATCATCTGATCTCTCCCTGGACGCGATGATGGTGTCGAGAGCCGATGGCGCAGTGGTGCTCGTAGAAGGTTTCGACCTGATTTGTCCTTCAATAAAAGTGCCCAATTGCTCGACCTGGCGGTGAACATAGTCCACACAGCTCTTGGACTGTTTGAGGTTGAACAAGGCTTTTTGCGGGTCCTGCTGCCCAAGTCTCGACTCCCAAGCATGGAGATATTCTCCTAAGTGCATTGTCGTTACTGAAGAGCCTCCTCCCTCACGCTCCTCGAGTGTAAAATCCACGTGCTTGATATCGGTCTGCAAAACTTCGCTGAGCAAGCCGAAATACCACCAGTTCTGGAGGAGACGTGCGATCTCCTGGATCATCTGCGAAGCAGGGAGTTGTGACTTGTGGGGATTGGCTCTCATCAACACTCGTGCGTTGTGCCCCTCGAGTCCAACTTTTAACTGGTCACGATTCCACTGATGATTCTCTGGATACGTCCAGAAACCTGTCGTTGAAATCGACTGCTGATCGCACAAATAGGCTACCTTGAAGTCAGTCGGTATTGGACTTGACATGGACGGGAGATGATCCATTTGGCGTCGTATGAGTGAGTAAGGGATTGTTGAATTGGTGACCTATCGTTCACAGCGATGACGTACGCTGTGTATATAGATATATAGATGGACTCTATCCTACACCCGTTGGGAGAGCCAGAGCACTCATACAATTCAAGTTGCACACCAAGTTTGACAGGGATTCTGCGACTGCAAGATAATGAGAGGTATGACGCTGTTAATGACACTTAGACATCATCTGATTGGGAACTGACGATTGTTGTCTTTCAAGTTCTCATTCATAGTAGCTTCGTATCGGTTGGGTGCCTTGATTGTCAGGGCAGCCGCTGCCAAGACACTAAACACCAGGCTTATATCCTGCTCCTCTCGCCGCATTATCGCTTGACTCCTCAAGCGATCGAGTCGATATCATATAGGACTGTCGATTTCATTAATTCCCTATTGAATCACACTTTCCCTTCTGTCCCTTGGCATTCCTTGATATTAATACTGTAAGAACCTGCGGAGCGTAGCGAAGCAGGATAAGCTACTAGGTAATAATTTCACTTAACTAGCGAAATTTATATGGGTCATTCGATTAATTGTATTGCAGCAATGTTTGGCCATGTACAAGTCGCTCCCGGCTTTGACTTGTTGAACAGGGACTATAATGTATAGGCTCCACCATTGAAACACTAGTGGGAGGTTTCCATAGACGACGACGTTACTGACGGTTACTCTGCGCGACGACGAGGTATTCGCATGTCTATAAAGAAACCCTCAGCAGCTCAACAAGTAGATAGAGAACAGAGCACTCCTTCGACTCAAATTGCACAAGTCTGACATGTGTGGCTACATATTCATCTACGAGCTGAATACGGAGACGCCGAAAGGTGGCAACAATCTTTCTCCATACATACATATGTATGTGCGAGGCAGGATCTCAGTTAGATAGAGAAGTTTGACATGACCCAAACCCTTCAGGCTCCAGGCCACGTGACTACATCAGGTGTTGCGCCCACTCGGCAAACTTGCACCGGGCTTTTTGTGACTTGGTCCCTGAATGGGCGCATTTCATTGCTTTACCGTCCACCTCTCAATTTCCCACGATCGAGCAGTGAGAATCAAAAACTCGAACGAACAGGGGAATGCCATGCACATATGGGTGGACGCTGGCAGCCTCCAAGCTCTAACGCAGCCATCCATTCACTTCGACTTCGACCTCCAACACTCAGTCGTAGGTCCAACTTCACGCCAGAGAAGGCACTTTCAAGCTAACCGTGACATTGCAGTTATCCGTCCTGATAATATCGCAGCTCTGACGAACGTTTTCCCTCGTCGTCCTCCGGACTGACACCATAACGCATCGCCACAATCTCCTGAACCAAGGGTGTTGGAGGAGCGGCACCTAAAATTGAGCGCTCGCAGATCGACATGGGAATAAACCGGCACTCCTTCACTGCTGACCTTGCCGATTCATCTCGAACACGAGAATGGACGAAGGATCGCAAATTCAAACCGAAAGAACTCTACGGCGAGAACGTGGATTTGGACGACGTGGAAGTTTGCGACGATAAGTATTGGACCTATGTGGCATGCGATAGAGCCGGCCCATGCAAATACTGTGGTAGACGGCCGTTACATATAGATTGCATAGTCATTGCTGTTGATGGCGCCTGTTGGAACAATGGCGCCGCAGATGCTAGGGCTGCCGCAGGGGTTTTTATTGGCGACGAGTCCGAATATAACGACAGCTTCATTCTGAAGGATTGCAAACCAACTAACCAAATAGCGGAACTAAGGGCTGGCATTCGCGGGCTTGAACAAGCCCTGGCCATACAGAGCAAAGGGTTCGAAGGTGGGGACTTACAGCAGGTCGTGATTAAGGCAGATTCGGAATACTTGGTGAAGGGTATGACCGAGTGGGTGTTCAAGTGGAAAAAGAATGGCTATCGGACCTCCAGAGATAGGCCCGTCACAAATGCTCCGCTTTTCAGGAGACTTGAAGAGCTTGTCGTCGAGTTGAATAAGCTTGACGTTGAGGTTTTATTCTGGCATGTGCCCAGGGACCGCAACAAGCAAGCCGACATGTGGGCGAATATGGCGTTGCGCAATGGTTGGTATGAAGAGTAAGAAGAGTATTTGTGGTTTTCCGATGAAGGCAAGAATTTGGTTGATTTCCCGATGATAGCGATGTGGGTCACCTTCTCTTATTCTACAGGGCAAGATCTTTAAACTGATCGATCATCATAGATCACCTACTATCCATATCCACGGAACGATTACTTTCCGCTACCTGGAGCGGCAGAGAGTTTAAGGAGCATGCTGGGGGAACCCAGCATGAGGAGCCTGACCACCAAGACATCAACTTCTCCAGAGAGATGTACGTAGCAAAGATCCCGTGGCTAGCCTAGCTGGTCATCGCTTGCATAGCTGCCTTAGGCCGCCGGTCGGACATTAAATTGAGAAGAAGGAAGCACCCTTTTTGCACACTTAGAGGAGAGATTCCATTAATGTAGGGGTTCCATACTGGACTCCAATTGATCCTCCATTATTGGAATTCCTCCAATAGGTTTGGTTAGCCCATATTCTCTTCACGCTGCTACAACAATCAGAGACGCGTTGCGCTAACAGCACGCGTCAAAGGGGAAATAGTCTTGCCGTGGCTTCGCCGCGGCAAGAGAAATATCATTGCAATCACACTGACGTTACTCATGCCATGGACACCGCGCGATGATAAACCCCTCCTACAGCTAGTATAGGACTCACTTATAGATGGGGCGCCACAGCCAGCGAAAGTTTTCAGTCAGATCAGTTTCAACAATCACTGGCTGGAGCATTGCGTTTACCCATCTAGGCACCTAGACTCAATGGAGCTAGGCCGGACAACCCTCCTACCTTACCTATGATCGAACACTAGTAAGGCCCCTCAATTCTATCGGTTCGACTGCAAGCCGAGTGTTTTACCACTCGGTTACGTCCTTGATAGGTCAACCTCGATTTGGTGTTACATTTTGAAGCAGTTTTTGGCAGTATAAAATATAAACCTTTTTTTTGGGGGGGGGGGGGGAATGTCGTTGCCGGGGAATCTGCCTCTGGCTTAGTTCTTGGCCGCCCGCCGCTTTTGACGTCGCTATAAGAACCTGTCGAACTGGGGAACAACTTAAAATGCATTGAATGCTCTGTCTACCTCACAACCAGTCCTGCCAGGTTGCTGGTATATATACACGTCGGTTTAACCCTTTTCTTCTCCTATTTCCGCCCCTAAATCCTGCATAGGGGTGATAACCCCTTTTCCAATACGGGGGCACTTGCTACTATTCGGTCGTTCAATGAGACATTGTTCGACAGAACCGCTCTCCCGTCCTCCTCGACGTCAACCTCTCCATCATCCTCATCTCTCTTCATCCTGGGACCCCTGGCATTTCTGCCCTGCCTCACATGATCAGCCGGCGCCCTGCTATCAAACTTTCTTTGTGCAACTTGAGATGAAGGAGCGCTCTGTTCTCTATCTACTTGTCGAGGCCCTGAGGCTCCTTTTATAGACACACGAATGCTACATTGTTGCACAGAGCAACCATCTGCAACGTCGTCGCCTATGGAAACCTCTCGTCTCTATCCAACACTTGCATTCCCAGGCATCCTTCCAGTCCGCCCTTCCGCGGCCCACCAGACCCCTAGGAAATTGTTGAACGGTTGGACAGGAGCAAGAGCCCCTTTACCGGGAATAGAGGTTATCACTCCTATGTAGGATATAGGGGTAGAAATAGGAGAAGAAAAGGAGCCAACAAAACGTGTATAAATATCAGCAACCTGGCAGGACCAGTTGCTAAAGAGCAGAGCATTTCAATTCATATTCTCTTGGCATTCATTGTTTGACAGAAATCTATGGCGATTCTGTTGTCCTGAATAAGCTCTTAGGTGAACCCTCGGCAAGGATGGTACTTCCGTTATCCCGAACAAGGCCTTAGAAAACCCTGGGAAAGTGATGACACTTCCGTTGTTCTGTATGTTGTACAACAGCGCAGCACATAGCTCGACCCACCATTAGCCGTTGCCGGTCACACAATGTGTCCCCCCGATCCTGCCATAACCCTTGCGATCTCTCTACTCAACGTTCTCCCAGAAGTAATCCGCCCAGGTTGCAAGATCCGCGTCATTAAAGATGACATCGCCTTCTGGTGGTACAGCGGCTCGGAGGAAAATTTCGTCAAATCCGAGAACCAGAGGCGCTCCAGCAACGTCATAGGTTGAGACAGTGCCTGGCTGAATGGTGACAATTGGCTGACCGATGGTATTCGACTGAGCAGTAGGACCTAGTTGTGGAGTGGGATTTTGGGTGATAGTAAGCTCTTGGACTTTTGTCGGAATTGGAGCATTGGGACTTGGGTGGCTTCTGGTGGCTGGTCTATATGTAGGAGGCGGAGAAGAGCACCACTTTTCGACCGTTAGCGTCTTCTGTGCTCGCTTTATTGAGATGATGATGGCAATCTTGACATCTCCTCCAGAGTTGACAATCCACCATTCTGCGTCATGTTGCAGACGAGTAAGTGTTTCAGAGAGTCCAGACTCAAAAACAATTGTTGGCCAGTCAAATTTCTTTTTCCGGATCGGGACGGGGCAGAATCCCATATCACCCTCTTTAGAGGAATTAGGGAGTTTGTATGTTGTCCCGCCAATAGGACATAAGCAGCCTTCTGGAAGGCCCATTCTGACACATGCGTGAATAAGTTTCAGGGATAGTGTGAGGTGCGCAACTTCATGTTCCGCTGAGGGCATCAGCTTGATAACTAATAGATTGTTATCTGCGTAATGGCTCATCCGAGTATGCTTCCCTATGTCGGCGCGCTGATGGTCAATCTTTTCAAGGTGGCCTTTTGTGATACCCATGTAAACAAGGTACTGTTGATTCGTGCGACCGTCCATCAACGCGGCGCACTGCGAGTGGACACGTTCTTTTAGATCTCGGATCCCTTTGCACCTATATATACGAGAGTCTTCCAATCCCTTTGAGGACGATA